TTCTTACTGAAGACTTGACAGGTGTTCTTACTCCTCTTCCACCCAACAGGCGGGACCTACATGAGGGCTCATCCTGGGATCCTACCTTGATACCTTTTCCTCCTATTCCTCTTCCAGCAGCTGTTTCTGGTGAGCTGGTCCTTCCCTCCTATGAGTCCAGTTGGGTGGCTCAGCCTTCTCATGAGTCTGGGCGCCGATTTGAAAGAGATCGCAAAATACTCGGGAGGCGCACCTCCTCAGTCGTCTGGGTTCCCCTCCACCTCAGTCAGGACAAGCCACCAGTCCAGCGGCTCAAGGGGCTGGCATGGTTGGAATCTCGCTGGGGCCTCCAAAAATGTTGAGGAAAAAGGTCCAAAATCAGACCAGCGAAAAACCAGGCAGTAACTTGGAGAGAAGGAGAACTCAGGTTTATTATGCATGGTCCCAGAGGAGTTAGTGCTTTGAAGATCTAGGCCCGAGCTCAGTTGCAATATTCTTTATATACAAGATTTTTACACAAGCTGATTGGTCAGTTTGAATTCCGACCCTTTCAAACAGCGGGAGTTGCTATGGTTGTAAGTAGTAACATTGATGGAAGGGCGGGAGTTGTTATGGGTTACCGTTGGTTACAAATTGTTACAGGAAGCAGGAGCTGCTAAGGTACAAAGTGCTACAAGAGGCAGGAGCTTCTAGGGGTACAAACAGTTACATTCGTTTCTTAGGTCAAGCAAAGTGCAAGTGAGCTCTGCAAGTGAGCTCTTGAATGGAGCAAGTATATTTACAGAAGCAGAACAGAGAGCTGGTTAGCATTTTGAATTATATTTTTCTTCATTTTCCTCTTCACTTGTACTCATCTAATTTCATGAATGAGAACAACAGAGGCATAGGCAGCACACTGCTAATAACTTTCTTAGCAGTGAACCAAAGTGAGTGCTACAGCTTTTCTGTCTACATTAGCAACATTCTCCTTTACAGCTCTATATTTTAAGTTCTCTTTGCATACTGCCACCTGACATTTGATGGAATGGGAATGAATGTCCATCCACATAAAATGGAGAGTTTAGGAGTATAGTAAAGATTTAATTAAACGTAAAATACAACTTGAAACAGTTTTTCACACCCAAGAAAGCAACATAAATGCTTTCTAGAACTTAATAGAATTTATTGAATTAAATAGAATTTGTTAAATAGAATTTGATAACTCAACATGCCTACTTTGTTGTTATCTTGCTTTTCATCTTTTAAAAAAAGAAATTAAGTCTTTTCCCTATGTTTTATGGTTCTAGTATTGTGTCTTATTATGTAAACTAAAGGTAAAAAGGTCTGCTGTTATAGCTAATCTGCACTGAACTTTATGAAAATAAGTTCATGAATATAAAATAGGACCTTCCTAGATTATATAAGTGCGTATACATCCATGTATCTTAGGTATTACAGGATAAACTTTTCCATTTAGTTAACAAATACTTATTGTACAATGAATATGTAAAATAGCATAATGTAGAAACTCCTGAGTAGAAAGCATGGCCTATTTTTTTTTTTTTTTGCCTTAAGGCCTTTACCTATACCTCAGTTGTTGGTCTGTCCCCAGAACCTTGAGCCAGTACCAGTAACATGAACCGAGGAGTTCCAACTCCTGTTGCTTGCTCCATGTGAGGTGATTCCATCATCAAGGCTGTCCCCAACCCTTGCCTACCTGCTTCCTCAGATTATAACCTTTCCCAAGGCCATGTCCCATAAGCAGAGCTATGGCACTGCTACCCAACTGCTGTGGGACTCGAGGATAAGGAGCCACTGTCTCCAGGTAGCCTCCCTGCTAAGAGAAGGTGAAATTCCAGACCATGGGTCCAGCATTTCCCCGAGGACTCTCTGGATCATCCACCCTTCTTTCCTTAGTCATCATCAGAAGTGTAAATCCTTCCATCTATCTTCTCTCATGTTTTATTCCCTTAATGGTCTCTGCCCTCTCCCCTTCCTCCAAAGCCATCTCATTACACCACCTCAGATCTCCATGACCAACTCACTTAGTCTAACCAGGTTCTTCTTATCCTTAGGAGCTCAACTCAAATATCACTTTCTTTAAGACACCTTTTCTGACCCTCCAAACTAGGGAAGATGTTACCTATTAGATGCCTCTATTACTACTTACCTTTCTACTTCACATAACTTATCACACTTAACGTGACTTGTTTGAGGCTTATTTTCTCACCTAGATTGTAAACTCCATGAGAGTAGAAATTATGTCTATTTTACCTTATTATGTCACCAGAATTTAACATAGTAACTGGCACATAATAGCAATTCAACAGATATTTACAGAATAAAAGGAAGAGGAAAGAGATGTGCAGTGAGAAGAAACAGGTTCCCAAGTTAGACCTCTGAACATACTCTTCAAGAGAAATATGATCATATGATGTTGGCTATGTCTCAACTAGAGCACAGGTTATGTGGCTCTTGGTGGCCTGGCTGGCCTGTATCCTAAGTATCTTAGCTCATTATTCCTCCAAAGAAAAGTGCTGTGAGTTCCAAACACATGTTGACAAATAAATTTGTAAGTTGGACCTTTCAGCCTATGGACTTAGAGCACTAATACTCCAGACTCACACAGGAGGGTGAGGCCTGTGTGGAGAATACTCATGGTGCTGAGTAAAGCAAGCCCAACTTCCCTCCCTTCCTCGGGCCCCTGAGGGGCTGCAACTACATAGGAAACCACCTCAGATACTTCTGGGTATCTGAAGCCCTTTTATCTCAATTGTTCAAACTGATTCTTGTGACACTTCTCTAAAATCATTAACCAAACTCAAAGTATATTTACCTAGCATACATGTCCTAAGCCTTGTACTGGGTGATAGGGAACCAGGGAAAGAAAACATGATTTGTGTTGCCACTAGATCACATTCTAGATACACAGGAAGGATTCCTAACCTCATTTTGCACATGCAGTTCAGTGACTTGCCTGAGGTCACACAGTCATGAGCAAGGGTACTTGCTTGTTGCTGTGATGACTCCCAGTTGATAAACTGCTAAATGCTATGTTGTATAGATTAGGCAAAATGGAAAGTTAAGATTAAAGCAGTTCCTTCTGTTTTAATTCTTTTTAAAAATCTTAAAAACACCTCATCCGTCCTTGAGTGTTTTATGATAAATCAAAGAATATCTGTTTTACGCGAGACAGATGCTGAAGGATGAAGAAGGTCACGTAGGAAGAGCTTGGACATGTTTCCAGTTGCTTACTTTGAAGCCCTGGAGGCCTGTGCGGAGATACCCATTGTGCCAAGTACAGCAAGCCCAACTTCTGTTCTTTCTTTGGGCCTTTAAGGAGCTGCAGATACACAGGAAACCACTAAAAGGGCCCTGCGGCTGGATCCCCAAGCCGTGGGGCCTTGCTCCATAATGGGGCTCAGCTGCTTACACAGCCCCTGTTTTCCTCTGACCAGCTGCCCAGGCCAAATGGCAGAATCATTTCTTGAATATTATTACATTATGGAACTTCTCTAAGGGCCCTTGAGTGATCTGGAAGGCCTTGCTGAGAGGGCTGGGAGCTGCCCAAAGCTGTCTGCAGCCAAGTCCACTGAGGCAGCAGCCACAAAACACTCTGTGTGACTCAAAGGCTTCTGTTAACAGGGTCACAGCTGCCCAAATGACTCAGGAGACCAGCCCTTCCAAGGGACTATGGAAGAAAGGATTCTCATAGGTCTCAGATCTGGGTTGAGGGCAAGGAAGAAATGAGCCATGAATGAGAGAGCAGCTAGCAGAGAGAGGCAGAAGGAAAGGGAGAGCTGGAAAGCTCAGGGCATGGAAAGTGGTTAATATTGCTATAACCTTGTCATCCAGCATTATAAGCTTCCTTCAACACTGGCTTGATACTGGGTCAAAAAAGTATGAGGGCCTTGGGAATGATTTGGCCTGCCTCAGTTCCCACTTCATCTATGTGACCAGCTAGCTATGTGACTTCATGTAGGTTACTTAACTTCTTGGGCCTCAATTTTCTCATCTATGAGGAAAATATTAACATATGTATCTTGAATGATTTATATGAGAATTAAGCAAGACTTTTTATTCATTCATTTCACAAATATTTATCGAATACTATCTGCCAGAAATACTATCTGCCCACTATCTGCCAGAAATGTTTCCAGGCGCCATAATCAGCAATCAATGAAAGAGACAAAAATCCCTAAAATCTCTGTCTTCATGAAACTTACATTGTCTATTTCAACTCAGTACAATAAATACATAATAATTTAACTATATGGTCTGTCAGACATTGATGACAGTTTTGGAGAAAAATAAAGCAGATGAAAAGTGGTTGCAATTTTAAATAGCCGTGTCAAGGAAAGCCTTGCCGAAAGGATGATATTTGAACAAAGATATGAAGGAGAGACAATGTATGCAATAGCACTTGCCCAATGCCTGTCACAAAATAAGTACCATATTTTTTGTATTATTACTATCACCACAATTGTTATAAGTATTAATGACATTCTTCTTAGTTTCCCAGAAAGATGGCTTAAATATAGAACTGGTAGAAATGACTCAAAACATCAGTATTAACACTATTAATAATAAGAATAATAAATAACTACATTGACTGAGATTTTTTTAAACATATTACTATTTACAAGGTATGAGTTACAGAATCTGACTCCAGGAGAATAAGTTTCCCGACTCTTGGTAATAGGAGAGATTCTCTTAAAATGCTGATTGGGTCTAAGATCTTTTTTTTTTTTTTAATAAAAGCAGTAATCAGACTTACATGCTATAGATAACTGACTGTATATTTCTCTCGATTTCAGTTAATTCCTTTTCCAGAACTTTCCAAAACTAAAATAAAACGAAAAGCTAGTTGAAGAAATTCTAAGTTATAGCAGAAATCATTTTGTGTAACCTTGGGAAAATCACCTCACTTCTCTGGACCTTTGTTTTATATTTAATTTTATGACTTGTAAAATAAGGTAACTATATGGTTATCTAAGATTCATTGTTAAAATTTTTTTCTATGATTATTATTAATTACTTACTCAACAGAGACAATGACAGCATTCAATTCCTCAGCCATTTCCATACACAATTCATCATAATATTTGATTTCTAAAAGAAACAAAGGAGCAATCACTATTAAACAAGTTATTCAATACTGTCCATTCTTAAATTCTGCTAATTTTGGATTGCTTTTATACTTGGACATAAGTTATTAATAATAAAAATAATAAGAAGCAAATGTCTCAATAGAGTTACATGTGCAAATGCAGAATTTAAATCAAGCTTCTGATAAAATGCAATTACTACAAAATAACAGAAAATCCATATTAGATTACCGTTTAACCTAACAGTTATTTCATAATGGACTACACGAAATGTACCAAATTAATTCTGATTTTGTAGCTCTTCAAATGTATGCGTTTTCAAAGACCACAGCAAATAAGCAGTTTCCTCCTTAGAACCATAAAATTTTTCTCTTTTAATACCCTTATTTGCTGTAGTTCAGGAAAGGCACCAATTTGAAGAATATGGTATTTTGTTTAAACCAACACATAACAAACTTTAAAGAAGTCTCAGCATTTCTTAGAAAGTGGATGCATGAACAGGACAAACAAACAGACTCATGGACAATAGACTAGTGGTTACTAGAAGGTAAGAAGTGGGAGAGGGGGAGAGCGAAGGTAGACAGTAAAGGGGGTCAAATATGTGCTGACAGAAAGAAATCTAACTATGGGAGGTGAACACACAGTGTAAATATACATGTCTTACTGTTAAAGTATACAGCTGAAACTTACTGGATTTCATTAACCAATGTCACCATAAATAAAAAAATAAATATAAAAAAGAAAAGAGGATCCAAAGGTTTGCAGTGGCAGAAGCAATTTTAATATGTAAAAAATTAATCCCTTAGCTGTTCTTTCAGTAAATTAAGAGCAGACTGTGTCAACAGAAAGCCAAATATTACCTTATTCATAAGCTTTCCAAAGCAGTCTTAGAACCAGAAGTTTAATAAGTACATAACCATCTACATACTTCTCTCAGCCTGAGATCTTCCTCTGGCAAGAGTGATGAGTCAAAATTATGTGGAAAAGGCCAGGTTGACTCATATTTATACCATTCCCCAAACTTATACCTCTTGGTCTCCAGTGTAATGTCTCACCTGGCAAGTGTCCAATGGTACCAACTTATTCTTGTCTAGGGCAGATACTCTATCTTATTCATTTTTACATCCCCATCACCTAGCACAGAGTAGGGTAGCCAAAGGTCCAGGTTTGCACACAACCGTTTAAGTGTTTGTGCTGGGTACCCCAGGAAACCTCTCAGTTCTAAGCAAACCTGCATCGTCAGTAAACATCTGTTGAACACATGAACAAGTCAGTGAATAAAAGAATAAATGATGAATATGGAGTTAAATGAAATGAGATTACCAGAAAAAGCAATTCTTTTTGGCCTTAGCCTCATTAACAAAATAATATGTTATTAAAAAAAAATAGAAAAAGTTGTTACTGCCTTTTCACTTAGGGGATAACAAAGCACTGGGATGAAGATTAGGATGTAGCTCCATGATAACTGCAGGAAGAAATAAGTCCCTTACTTCCTCGGTATGCTTTCTGCCGGGATGCTGTACTCGGCTGCTTGCCATTCTGAACTTGTTTTGCTCATGAAACTAATCCAGCACTAAAGATAATATTCTTGAACTTTGTAAGATTGTTTCTTTTATATTTTCATCTTTGGATTTATAGGCAGATGAAATGTTAATGAGTTAACATGTATATTCAGAAATATTTGTTCTATCTCATAGAAAGATATCTTTAAAACACAAGTTGGCAAAAGAGCTACCGATAATTATCTTGTCTTCTGGCCTAATGAAACTCCACCTTGTTTTGGTGCAGAAAGCTATTGTTCGCACTTCACAATAAGTTAGTCTACGATTCAGGTAACAGGAAATATTTTCTAAACAGTCTGCCTTAATTAATAAACAACTAGGCAAAAACCTTTATGTAGGGTATGAACATATAATTAATCATTCAAACCAGGACACTTTTGAGTATGAAAATGGGACACTACTAATAATTTCCCTGAAACAATAAGGGAAACTGGGACTGTCTAGAGGAAGCAACTCAAATGTCGCCCCTTTCTTTACCCAAGAAAGTCAAACTCAATCACGGACACATCCCTCCCGGGGCCAACCGCAACCCCAAACAACCTGAAGGTGACCAGGACATACTTGCGCTTGCCAAGGCCCAGCCTCCTCCATGGATATAAACAACACTGCGTTTCAGTGGCTCTTCTGGCTTTGGAGGGCCTTCAAACACTCTGACTTCCACACCGTCAAAGTCAGTGTCAGTCACCTTCACCTGAGCAGAGGACCATGCGCTTTTCTTGCCAACAGAGATGATGATAAAATTCAGTGTGAGTAGATGATGGCTCAGGCCCAGGTAGTGTATCAGGTTACTCTGCAGGGTGAGAGAGGGAATAAAGAGAGCATGTGTGAACTCCGTCATCACCAGAGCCACACTCACCAGCTCTTGCTATTTTAATTCTTATGAGCAATTGCTATGACACCTGAGGACTCACTGGCCACTTTTAATACAATAACAATGGTATTCACCTTTTGCTTTTTGAGCTTACAAGATATTTGCATGCATTGGATCTCCTTTGATCTTCAGATCAGCTCTGATTGGGAAATGAGACAGGTATCATCAGTCTCATCTTATCAAGAAGGCCTGGAAATTAAACTAACTTGCCATTTTCTGAATAAGTGGCAGATCTGGGACTGAAACTTAGAACGTGCAAATTCCAGGGTTCAGTCATTTTTGTTTGTTTTCTTAGATCAGCACATCATAGTTCTAATAACATATGAGGAGTGTAGAAAGAATACTTCATTTAAATGCAAATAAAGAGAGGAAAGTTTCATATTTACTGTATTTTTAAAGTATTTTTAAGCTCAAGTATTTAAGTGTATCTGGTTGTTTTGAGAGTAGGAAAAAGGAATAAATGTGAGCGAGAAAGAGCAGAGTTAACTGTGGCCCCAGCATTTAGAAGCAGACTAACTCAGACATAGCTAGGAGCTTTTTAAAAATGTGCAAAGAATACACAGCCTGCTATCCCTTCCCCCTCTGAACCCTGAGAGCATTGAGCTCTGCATTAAGTCTTCGTAGAAAGTTATTTGGTTGGAGGAGGAGCATAGAAAGAAGAAACCCAAGTCATCCACTCAGCGAAGACCCTAAGGAGTGTATTCTCTTCTTTTCACCGCTTATACAAACTCTTCCTGTTAAATATGCTCGTAAAAATGACCTCCCTGCAAAAGTTAACAGCCATGTTCCAAAGCTGGAGATTTGGAAGCCATCTGGAAATCAGCGACTAGTCCAACTAGAGGCCTAGAAGTGTCATGAGTGGAAACTTTTTGGCACAGATGCGTGAATTTAGATATTGTATCTCCCAGTGGCTCTCAAACCTCAGGAAGGCGAACAGTTGGAGAGTAACAGTGCCCTTCTGCAGAATGTGAAACAGAACACTGATTATCAGTGAGCTATTTAATGCCATCATAAGATCAGGGAAACAATGTTACTAGCAGAAAGCAGGACTACTTTAGTCTGCAGTACACTATACTACAGCTTGACAGCACAGGGTGCATGTGCCACGCTGGTATGCTTTGAAGAGGATACAGATGTCCTGTTATACAGATCCCCTTAGTCCCTGGGCAGCCAGGTTCCTCAGCCACTTACCCCAGTGTCTCATATAAATAGTACTATTGTATACATATACCCTGCCATGAAAAGAGTTGGAAAGCACCGAATTAAGCCATTAGCCAGTGTTCGTGAAAAACAAACAAACAAAAGGCAAAAATACCTAGAACAGTACCTGGCACACACTAAACCTTATATGAGTTGGTTATTGTTATTATTACACCTCTGATCCAAAAGATCATTGCACGAGGAAATGTGAGTCCAGGGACAGATAGTCCAATGTTTCTAGCAAAGCTGAGAGAACCATTTTTCCCCATTATGTGCATCCGTTATTAGGACTGCACTCATTACCAAGTTCTAAAATTATTACATGTTAAACAGATATCAAATAATTATCTCTAAAAAGTTCATTTGTATGCTTATGGCAAAGGGGGCAGAGGAGGCTGGAGAAAAGCCAGAGTACACTTATACCCCAAACATATAAACAGCTTAGCACATGGTCAACTTTCAACGTGAACCAACTACAATAAATACTTAAGAGTGTCCATTGTAACTCACTACATGCTTCATTTCCCCTATTCGAAAGTTTGTTTTCGTGGTCAGTAGTTCTCTGTTTTTCCCAGTGATGGTCACTTCATCCTGTCAAAGATTTTTTTAATTCTCTCCAAACCTGTTCTAATCCTGCTCTAATTCTGCGTATTATAGGAAACAAAATTTTTTCATGGAATATTTACCTGCATGGAAATTAATGGTCATACTTTTAAAATATCATAAAGTTTGCATGTATTTTTAAATGCAGATTTAATTTCTTTATTGCCAGGTAAATTATATGACTTGCACTGAGATCGTTGTACAAATCACCTGAGATTCACCAATGCAGAAAGAACTCTTGTTCTACAGAAAAACCTCAATATTTGTGGCAGTAAACTACCAAAGGTCATATAACTGCAATTCAGCAAATATTAATTAGTCGCCTACTATATATAAAGACTCTGCTACATGTTAGAAGAATAAGAATTCAAAAGTGGGTAAAAGATGGACCAAGCAAGAACTTAAGAAGGTAAGAATTTAAGTCTTGTCTGATTCCCTGCATTTCCCCAAATCTCCATCCCTCCTTAAGCTTTCGCAGTTCTCTATACTTTCTCTGAGACTTTAACTTTTAAGTGAAATCCTCTGATTTTAGAGCATTGATTCAGATTATTATTAGTTTTTTAAGTTGCAGATCAGACCAAACATGTCTGCAGCCAAATCTAGACTAAGGGCCACCAGCTGTCAACTTCCGTGTAGAGGATGATGCATTCTGACTGAAGGTGCAGCTGGAAAGCTGCTGGCAGATTAAATGCTCTTAAGTGTAGACCTTAGCTGTCAATGGTAAACACCATAAAGATTTTGGGACACTTTTTTTGTATGAGACTATACTTTAGGAAGAATTATGCAGCCACAGTGTATATAATTGATTGGCAAGGACAACAGCTCTAAGAATTTTGCAATTGCCTGCAGGAGAGAAAATAGAGGTTTGGCCCAGGAGAACATGGATGAGGGAACATATCAGAAAGGTCACTGAGACAGAGTCAATGAGTCTTGGCGACTGCTCACAGAGTGGAGGGACTTGGATCAGTTAGGCAGGCTGGTGGGACACAGAGAAAAAATTCAAAGATACTGGAGGGTCTTTACTTGAGACATGAGAGACAGAGAACATAGGCAGAACAGTCAGGGAACAGAAGATAAGTTCCATTTTAGAATTATTCCATATGAAGCCAATGGAACATCTAGGTAGGTGGGTCCTAAAGGCAGATCACAAATACAGGGTCAGAGATTCAAGGTCAGGCCTGGAGCTCAAAGGTAACTGATAACTCAAACAACAGTAAAACTCAGGAGAGGTAGTGAAGAGACAAACGCAGAGTGTCAAGGAAACAGACCATGGAGGAAACATTCTTTAACAGGCTAGAAAGAAGAATCTAGAGGAAGAAATATACAGAGTGGCCAAAGGAAAACTAAGAGTGAATCATGGTGCAAAAGTCAAATTTTAAAGAATTTTTTTAAAAGCTGACAATTTGGAAAATTTAAGGAAGTTTAGAACTGAAAAATGACCATTAGCATAACTAGGTTGTCAACACCAGTAGCCAAAAGAAGTTTTAGGTGCACTGTGGAGGCGTAATCCAATTGTTTCACTAGCCTCATCATTGTCTTTGCAATGTGCAAGATAGCCCAGCTCTGCATTTTGACCACTGCTCCCTTAGGAGATATAGTGGCTATGTCAACTTTTTGACTATGTCAAGATTTTCCCATGCCTCCCATTCCAACCTGCTGAGAATTCATTTCCATGTTTATGTTTGCTCAGGGCAAGTGGTAAAAGTGTTAGTTCAGGCTAAGTGATACTTAGGAGTTATAGCATCACTTCAATCTTTTTCTATCAATGCGAAAAAGCCTAGGTATGAATCTCATTTCTGCTACTTACTGGTTGTATGTCTTAGTTAATGTTCTCAAGTATTAATTTCCTCCGCTGTGAAATGAAAACAATAGTACCTAACCTATAATGTTGTTTCTGAAGATTAAATGAGTTAACATATGAAAAGCACTTAGAACAGTGCCTGGCACATATTAAACACCATATAACTGTTTATCATATGATCCCTAACTAATAATTGATATTATAAAAAGTGTTACTTAAGTTTTTATCCCACAGAAGAAACTTGACAATATTTATGTCTAGTAAGTTAATTAAGACTAACTACAGTATTTAAGTAACATTTACTTAATTTATTAAAATTTACAAATTAAATGTTCAGAACAACTTGACTTGGTTTTGGCCAGCAGTAACTTTTGAGCTAACTTGTAATTTATGTTTAACTGCAGTACATCCTCTAGTGAGTCTGAGATACTATAAAGTTCTTCAAAAACGCTAGGTGATTTTTTTTTTTTAGTTCTCTTAGTAATAAATATACATCATTTAGAACTTGCAGAAGAAGAATGTTACAAACATCAAAAGATTAGCATCAGAATCTTAAAGAAATTACAGGTGACTTGGAAAGGCAAATTATATTTGTAGGCTCATTTCAGAGATTGGAGGGGAGGAAGGGTGTAAAGAGTTGGCCAAGAAGCTACTAGAATGGCCATCCTTAAGATAAAAAAGATCTGGAGGCAAGGCTGAGTTACTCTTCCAGAAAAAAAAAAAAAAAAAGAAGCCCTAATTGTCCTACAAATGTGAAAGACAGGGTAGTTGTGACACAGATGTAATCTTTCGTGGGCTAATTCCCATTCAACCTCATTCTTGGACATAAAATAGAGCTAATGTGACATCTCTCCAAATGTTACCCAATTCAGCCAGTTGGCCAATGCACCACCTCTGAGAGGACAGACAAGAGACTGGACTCCCTGCTACTGGAGGAAAGCCACCTGGGAAGCTGCAAAGGCGATGTGAGGTCACAGCATCAGAGCCTAGTCCTGCCTCCTACCAACTCTGTGCTTTATACAAAGTTATTACATAATTCGGAGCCTCTGTTTATCTCCGTCTTGACAAAAACTAATCTTATCTCCTTCTCTTGAGTTCTTGTGAAATTTTTATTAAAACATCTGACATCTAGCAAGCACTGTAGAATAAAGGTATATTTACTTTATTTAATCCTATAGTTCTTAAAGCTGACAGCATATTAGTGTCACTTGGAAGCTTTTAAAAAATGCCAATGCCTGAGTCCTATTCCACACCTATTAAATAATCATCTCTGAGAGTGTGAACTAAGGTCTGGGTATTTTATTTTCAGCTCAGC